CCCCCCCCCCCCTGTGGTTTTCAGGGGACCCGTGACCACGGCATAGGAGCTCAACATAGAGCCCCTAGAGCAGACGAAGAACGGAAAAGTGAACGTTTCCTTCACTAGATGACCAGCGTCTATTCCTTTAATGAATCAACCCAATTGGAAATAAACTGGCACGAGGACCTGATATCACCCTTGTTCTTAGTCCTGGACTGCAGTTACAAAGCAAGCGCAGACAGGTTAAATGTAAACAAAGCAACATTTACAACGGCCCAGCTCCTAAAGTACACCAAAAAACAGAGGTAAGAGGCTACTATATTTGCACAGTTGCTCAGTGTCCTCAGCTGGCGTGGGGGGTGTAAAATAAGAGCTACTTGGAGTATGCAGGTGTACAGGCCCACAGTTGAATCCAAGTGAAGAGCCAAGTGTATCCCTGTAAATTGATGAGTTGTACTTTTACTGAACAGAGCAACGAAACTTCTATATCTCTTCCCACTAGGGCTGACCCTGTCGATCGGAGGGGGTAAAGGTTGAATCCTTATCAGAGTGAGCTGCGTTGTGAAAGACACAACTGATTGCCACGGGATCAGGAAACGAAGGCTCTGCCGGCATGGAGAACGCACAGCTCCGGAGCTAATCATGTCATGTTCATCCCCTACGCATATGGGTTACCAAAGAATCATTCGCTTCGCCTTCCCGCTGCTGCTGATATTCCTCTTCCTATACCTCAGCATCAGCAAGCTCCGTAAGTAACCTTCAGGGTATCTCTGCACTGGACACTGTTTGGTATTTGTAAGATTCAGCAACAATTTTGGAAACAATTGTCAACATTTTTCCAAGAAAAAAAAAAAAAAGCAGCTTTTTGTGACCACCGGAAACAGGGAATGTCCTTCAAAGCTCCTTATAAAGTAGGAAAGGGTTAGACCCAGTGGCGTAACAATCGCCATAGCGACCCAGGTGGCCGCTATGGGGCACAGTGGGGCAAAGGGGGGCCCGGCCAGAGGCCGAGCGGACCGCCTGGGTCGCTATGAGATCCTCTGCTGGTGGCTTTCACTGGCGGCTCTGAAGGAGAATGCGCCGCTGTTCAGATCACTGACAGTAATCTGTGCAGCAGCGCATTCGTCTCCACAGCCGCTGCTGAGTCAATGAGAGCCAGCAGCTGCGGTGGAGGAGGCCGGACCCGGCAGTGGAGGAGGAGGCGGGCCCATGGTCGACAGCAGGGGAGGAGGCGGGGCCCGATGACGGAGGATGAGGCGGGGCCCATCAGCGAGCGTGGAGGAAGAGGAGACGGACAAGTAAGGAGTGCGACCAGCCCACCTGAGGGTGACCCTGCAGAGCCCGCCATAGATAGTCTATGGTGGGCTCTGCAGGGTCACCCTCAGGTGGGCTGTGTGGGATCTCAAGTGGGCTCTGCAAGGGGTATAACTAGAAATCACAGGGGCCCACAAAAATGTTTGCTATGGGGCCCTGTGATTTCTAGTTACGCCCCTGGTTAGACCCTCAAGGTTCCCTTCTCTGTGTCCCTATATGGGGAGATTTACCCCTTTATTTGCAATGGTGACCCATGCTCCTGGAACTGAAAGCCAAAATGTTTCGGTGAGGGTCAATCTTCTATTGGGGACACCTGACCCGGGAACTAAGAGGGGAATTCTACTTGTTTTTTGCCTCTGGAAGTGTTCCAGATTCAAAAATGGCAAAATTCCCCCATAATAATCCCATGTTATATTTCATTATAAATCGTTATCGCTTTGTGGTTTCTTACGGTAACAGTATTAAAGTGAAGGGATGAAGGATTTTTCCAACATCTCCAATTTTTCTGGTTTTTGTAGGAATCATAGTCAACTATCTGTATGTACTTGTTGGTGTTCCTCAATCTTGACGTGTATCATGTCCGTCACTTGCTCTTTGAGTTGGCTCCAGTAGGGTTGCTAGAGGTGACATTCTGTGTTATGGATATTTAATGACCTAGCCAATCAGCATCCTTGGGGGATCTACTAATGCATGCTGGGAGAGTTATTAAAGATCTGAGTATCACGTATCTCGATGGGCACCTAAGATGACGAGGGCGACCTCTCTTGCTGCTTCAGTCCAAGCACCCCTTGGTAGGAGGACAGGAAGTACAGGGACGAATGATGCTACTGATGTTATTGGAACTTGTGAGTGCAGTTGTCTCATGGCTGGGGGGTGACAGGAAATGCAGATCATTGTTGAGAAGAGTCCAAGAACAAGCTAGGGTCAGCAATAGTCGGGTGGGACAGTACCAATATGGAAGACAGAGATGGGTCAGGTCAGCAACTTGCAGTCAACACAGAAGCAGGACAGCAAGCCCGGAGAGAGCCACAGGAGAATCAAGAGACAAGCTGGGTCAGTAATAGAAGATCAGAAGCAAAATCGTTCTGCTCCTGGGATGACTCTGGATTGCTCCCTGACTTTGATTACTGTCTGCCATATTGGTACTGTCCCACAAAGTACAGCTGAAGATCTCTGGAGTACTGGAGTCATGCAGGTCTCAGTCCTAAATAGATCACTTGACCATGCGTTCATACCTGCGCACAAGCTGTAAGGCATCCCTGCACACAGATGCACGGCCATACACAATTCTATTCACAGGAAATATGCACCCGCTCATGTGCAGGTGCTCGTGCTGAACTTCTGCTATGTAGGCTGGCTTAATCTTCCCTCCTGGGCTTTTGTCTAGCATGGGTGCAACTGCAAGAATTACCTTGATACCAGGACTTTGCGCTTGGGATTTAGAATGGTGCAAGGGTCTCCCCTCCTGGGAGGTCCACTGGAAGAAGCTGGCTGCTACCAGTGTTCTTTTTATGGGGCTAGAGGATGCTAACTGCATTTGGCACCGCGCCCCCCCACCCATGGAGATGGTGAGTGAACACTTAACCCAGGAAGCTTTCCATGCTGTTCTGCCTTGAAATACAAATACTGAGATACCACTAGAACTTCGCTTGTCAAGAAACCACATTACAAGCTTAAAGGAGAACTATGGGGTCAGGGCTTTTCCCTATAGCTCTCCTAAGGGTCAAGGGAGGACACAAACTAGCGTCCTCCCGTCACCCAAAGCTCAGTATACCGCGAGCTGTAGCTGTAGACACCGCAGCCGGGACGGATCCTGACATTACTGTCGAGATCCACCCAGCTGCGGGATTGACAGCTGGCTCTGCCTATCTAGAGGCAAAGCCAGCTGTGTCCCTGCCCCCTCCCCCAGTCCGTTCTGCCAGTCAGCGCTGGAGGATCGGCGCGGGGAGGGGGGGGGGAATCCCTGCAGCGCGCTGTGAGTGACAGTCACGGCTCTCTGCAGGGACATGATCGAGAAGTCAGCGATCGACGGTATGTGTTCGCTCACTTCCCAATCTATAGAGCCGACCTGTGACAGTTTCATTGTCACAGGTCGGCTCGAACTAAGGCCCCATTCACACCTAGGCGTATTGTAATATGCGCGTCTGTCGCGCGACCGTCACGCGGTTTTTTTACCGCGATTCGCGGTAAAAAAGTTGCGCGACTGTCGCGCGATTCCAAAGGCTACTTGGCTGTATCCAAATGGAAAACGCCCTACAAAACGGCCCAAAGTAGTCCCGGGACCTTTTCAGGCGTGGGCCGTTTTGTAGGGCGTTAGGGACGGGCGGAAATACGCCAAGGTGGGAACGAGGGCATTGACTACACTGCTATTTATTTTTTTGACCGTTTTGTAGCGCGTTCGTCGAGCGTAGGACGCGCTACAAAACGGTCAGGTGTGAATGGGGCCTAAGAGTCCATCCAGCATAGAGATGGGAGGGACCCAGAAAGTCATGGAGTAGACCAGAGACATTAAGGTATCCTGTGCTCTATCTACCCTCCTTCCTGTACACCAGTGGTTCTCAACCTTTCTAGGGCCGGGACCCCTTGGTAACATTTGCCAAGTTGTGGTGACCCCCAACGGTAAACTTTAGAGATGACGCGGCTGCTGCGGCAACATCTGGCGGCGTGGCGGGAGAACTGACACTGCAGCGCTAGGAAAGGGCTGAGGAGGACTCTCACCTAGCACAGCAGAAATCACACAGCAACCCACCGGTTGAGAAGGGGACCTGATGGAGAACTTCAGGTCCCCTTTGCTGATTGGCAGCAGCAGAAAGCGGGTGCAATAACTAGTTTGCTATTGGCTATTGCAAAGTGAAATAGCCAATAGGAATCTAGCTATGCATTCCTATGGTGTTTTTTTTTTTCTGACTGACGACGTCAGAAAAAAAAAAACAGAGCAGAGAAAAGTTTACTCTGTTCGATCGAGCAGACTAAACCTTTCCAGGAGAAAGTGTTTCTCTCCCGGGCTAGGCGACCCCCGGCAAATCGTCATTCGACACCCGACGGGGTCGCGACCCACGGGTTGAGAACCGCTGCTGTACATCTTACCGGAAAACCACATGGGTCTGGTGCTGAAATGACTGCGAACGGCGCTGCTGAGATCAACGTAAAGACAAGATGTCACCAGCACACCGAGGTTACGTGTGAAAGCAAACATCTTTTACTGATGCATATTGTCAAAAGGATAGCAACCTGCATCTTATCTTTACACGTCGGTCAATAATGTTCCCTTATTGACCGCAGTTCATGAGTCCATTCCTGGATAGTCGGTGAAAGTGATGAGCTCCAGTGCTTGGGGATAACTGAACATGTTGCAATAAAAAAAAAAAGTGGATTTAATGTACGGTAAGTGGGTCAGCCAACGTCAAGTTTGGGCATGCATGTCATCAGCTGAGTCCGTTACCACCTCACCAAGGGGGCCTTTGTATCATCATCAGGCCCGGATTCCCCACAAAGGCCACCGAGGCCCCGGCCTCGGGGCGGCAGGGTGCATAGGGGCGTCAGCGGTGTCCTTGTGGGGAAGTTGCCCTCTCTAAATTTAGTCCTGCTTTGTACAAGGAGGACTAAATGTAGAATGAGGGAAGCCGATTGTTCGTTTACATGTGAACTCGGCGATGTCACCGAGATCACATGTAAACAGTGTGCAGCCTCCTCCCCCTTCCCCCTGCACTTCCCTCTCCCCTCTGGTTCCGTCCCCCGGGCTCTGCCGCCGAGTCTCTCCTCACTGCAGTGAGCAGAGCGGCCGGGTTAAAAGTAACCCTGCCGCTCCGTGCAGACAGTGAGAGGGGAGAGCTGTGCTGTGCTGTGCTAGAACTCCTGTATTGGAGGTGACAGGGTCACTAAAGAGAACCTGTCACCTCCAATTGCTATCACGCAGGGGATTCTTTTCTCCTTTGTGATAGCAATAAAGTTAGGTGGGAAAAAAAAATTAAATTGCTAAATAAAATAAAAAAAATGAATAAATAAAAATTAAAAAAAATTAATATGCAATAATAATTAAATAATCAAATAAAAAGGTGATTAGAAAGTAAAAAAAAAATAATAAGAAACAAATTATTAAAAAAATAATGATAAAAATTAAACAATAATAAGATTTAAAAAATTATAAAAAAGTAAATAAGATAAATAAAAATCTAAAAAAATAATTTAGTTGAAAAAAAAATCATTAAATCAATAAAAATAAAAAAATAAGAAGAAATAATTAAATAAAAAAGTTTTAAAAAATAAAGAAACAGTAAAAAAAAAATTGAAACTAACCCCGCCGCCCTGCCATCTGGTTGCCATTCTCCATTGATGGGAAGGGGGGGAGGGTGTTGCGGCGCAGGGAGGGGGGCGTATCGCGGAACCTGGCCTTGGGGCGGCAGGGAGAGTAAATCCG